CTTGAATAAACAAAGACTTGTTCAAGTTTTTCCAATTCTTACATGTCTTTGGGTTATTCCTGCAGTCTGTGTTTGGGAAAGGATATAAAATTGGGAGAAATCTCATAAATTTCATATCTCAAAATGCATGGAGATGAAATTATGCCTGACAATGAGATACATAAAAGGAAAGTACTATCAAACTACAATACTCTGAAGGAAAAGACATTGGTACCTTCTTTTTTTTTTACCATATAAAACATATATGTACCAGGGTAAAGTTTTACATTTTACATCTGAACTGTTAGTCCAGGGAATATGAAATGGAGAAATCATAAAGTACTGATTGCTTTCTAACTAATAACCTATAGATTATATCATTCCCATTCCATGCTTTTGCAAACAAAAATTCTGGGAAGGACCATAATTTGCATAGACATTTAATATATGTGTATGTATTTTCAAAAGATAGAGTAAGAGACTCTAGACATGTTTGGTCACAGTAGAATGATAGTGAGTTAACAGGGAAGCTGGCTTAAAATCATTTCTGTCAGAGAAGGGGATCCTGAGGGAAAGAAATTACTTTTGACTCAAGCTGAGCAGCAAAGTAAATCCTCTATTTTTGAGCAAGCTGCTGAAGTGACAATTCTGGGAACCAGCCTCTAAATATGTACCTTCAGGGATGACCACCCAATTAATTTCATTCTTGCTGACATTTCCCATAGCCTTAGAAACTTCTTAATGCACATTAGTGCAGCTAAAATGGATTCCATGAGAATGAAAGATAAAGGGTATTTCTCTCTTAAGCCCACAAAAAAAGCAAAATGTTATTTCAGAGCTTCGTGGAAATATAATCACAATGTGTTGTTCAAAGTAAACTAGTGTAGTGGAGCTACTCCAGAATCATCCTCACTCGATTAACTCATGAATTTTCAGACCTAAAAGATGTCAATTAAAGCCAATGGGTATCATGAAGCTAAAATTCCCTACAATGCCTGAAAAGAAACTCAGACATTTCCTTTAAACAGGGAGAAAGAAAAGAAATTGACTGTCACATCACTTTCCCATGCAAAGAGGACCTTAAATTTCTTAATGTTACTTTCCCTGAAATAGAAACACAGTCTGAAGAAACAAGAATCACAAGAATGCACTGATTTTTATTCTTGAAGAACTTTTCCCAAATATTAACCAATTCAATACTCTTATGAAAGAGGTATTTGTTGTTCATTGACAGAAAAGAAAATTACACAAATCACACAGTTTACCTACGCCCACAGTCAGCCAGAATTTTTCTAAGTCATGAATAAAATATCAGAAATAGTCAAGACCATCAGATTCTGACAGCCCATAAGTATCTTAGGTTAATGTTAAAGATGATGCATTTAGGAGTTTTTCAGTTAGCAGCCCAGGCCTTGCTACACACCCAAATGAATAATGACATTTTGAAATTGAAGAATTAAGCTGAAAGCATTACCAGTATAGAAGAGCCCTGAGAATACCCTGAAAATTCACAAAAATACAGGTAAAAGCCTTGAATTTTTCACAAGCTTTGAACTGAGTTTGAACTGATCTAAAGCACATTTTGAGAGTAGAATAATTTACATAGATCCATGACTACCATGTTACATGTACTGATAGTTGGCCATAGCAATATTGGAAATCATTTGCAAAAGTCATTGAATTTAAGTGATCAGGTGTTAGAACCTTAAATCCAAAATTTCTATGAGATTGGGAATGAAACAAGATAGGTAGACTTCAAGACAATATGATGAAAGTTAGGTTAATGTTAAAGATGATGCATTTAGGAGTTTTTCAGTTAGCAGCCCAGGCCTTGCTACACACCCAAATGAATAATGACATTTTGAAATTGAAGAATTAAGCTGAAAGCATTACCAGTATAGAAGAGCCCTGAGAATACCCTGAAAATTCACAAAAATACAGGTAAAAGCCTTGAATTTTTCACAAGCTTTGAACTGAGTTTGAACTGATCTAAAGCACATCTTGAGAGTAGAATGATTTACATAGATCCATGACTACCATGTTACATGTACTGATAGTTGGCCATAGCAATATTGGAAATCATTTGCAAAAGTCATTGAATTTAAGTGATCAGGTGTTAGAACCTTAAATCCAAAATTTCTATGAGATTGGGAATGAAACAAGATAGGTAGACTTCAAGACAATATGATGAAAGGAGAGAACAAAGGACAGTGGAGCAGAGGCTTTAAACCATTAAGTGCCATGTCCAAAAACATTTTAAATCCTTCTTCTTTCTTTCTTTGTGCTTCTAACTGAACTTTGGGGGTAGGGGTGATTCAACTTTAAGCCTGATTCTTAAAACCAGTAACTTACATCTCACTTTATAGGCATGTATTATAGGAAGGTCTGATGGCCAGATGGGAGAATAAGAGGAAGAGGTGTTAATCACTGCTGAAGCCATGAGAGGGTACCAAGGCCTAGAGTTTCTAGAAGACAGGATAGTCTAGGGAGTTGAAAGGGAGAGTAAGTAACAAGAAACCCCAGAGAGTATAAAAAGAGCAGCCAAATATCTGTCAAGCAGAATATCAGCCATGGTTAAAAAATGAATCATGGAAAAACAACAAAAAAAGTGGGCCATGGAGGCCAGACTTTGAGGTGCAGTGGCATTCAAAGATTGATAGTTCCTTTCCACAAAATTCAAGGATAAAATTGGGCAAAAATTGTCAAGAAACAACCATTTTAGGACTCTGAGAATAGATCAAAGGCAAACAGCAAAATCTGGGGAAACTGTTGGAGTTTAGGAGAAGATAGAACAGGAGTCCATGGCCTTCTAACCTAGAACTGTTTCCATCCCTCTGAGCTAGGTGAGAATGTAGTATTATCAGAATAGAGCTGACCTGGAAATCTAAAGCTTTGCCACTACAGAGTGTGAACTCATTTGGAATTAGGGGTGAAAATCTGCAGCTTTGTCAGCTAAGAATGGTCAGCTTGGTAGAAAACAAATGAAGAAAACCCACTCAGAAATTCAAAAGGGAGGTACTGAAACTGAGACAGTCATAGGACTAAATGAGCACGCCACACAACCCTGGCTGAGTGAGAAACTAAGCACATGTGTGAGGATGAACAGAGAGAGTCAAGTGAAAGATAAAATCCAAGGCAGACAGAACTGGCTGTGACTTTGAGGATACTCCCAACCCAAATGCAGAGCAATTGGCATAAGCTATTTTAAAAGCCCTACTGAGCATAAATTCTGCCCCGATCACTAGCACTAAGCTATACAGATATAGGAACAGCCACCAAGAAGTGGGGCTAAAAAATAAAACTAAAAACCTAAAAAAAAAACTGAGCAGAGACATTCACAGCTATATACTAACAGGGAAACACATTTTACAGTACAATTCCAGGAGCATCTCTGTTTCAAAAAAAAAAAAAGGCTCAGAAAAATATATCAGAATCCAGAGTTGCTACAATTTATTAGCTAAAATGTCATCATATATATATGTGTGTGTATATATATATGTGTGTGTATATATATATGTATACATATTACAGTTATTATATATATGTGTATATATATTCATATATATAAAAGAAAAAGTTTTTAAAATGGCAATCAATAGAGACTGACTGAGTGAGTTCAGGTATTGGATTTAACAAAGACTTGAAAGTAGCTATTACATATTAGTTTGAAGAATTAAAATAAACTATGTTCAAAGAATTAATGGAAAATATGAAAATGACTCAATAAATAATCACAACCAAAAAATAAACTATTTTTTTTAAAAAATAGAAATTCTGGACTTGAAAATAGATGAATAGAAATGATCCAATCTAGAGAACAGAAAAAAAAAAGTACTGGATGACTGGGCTACAGCAGAATAGGAGCCAAAAGCAACAGTAGGTAGAACAAAAAGCAATCTGAATCTTAGTTGAAGAATTTCTCAATCATAAGCCTTTTATTCATTTATAAAAATGAAGATAATAGTGTTTCATAGAATTGACATGAGCACAAAAAAATAAAAATTGTTCAGTACTTTCTGGCACACTGTAAACACAGAAGAATTGTTATCTACTATTATCATCATCATCATCATCATCAGTATTTTACTAGAGGAAAGAATTATGGCTAGCTGCACCTGGCCCCAAAAGTTCCTAAGGAAACTCTCATACCAGTACAGAAAGTTCCTATAGGCAGCTTGGAAGTGAGCAAATAACTAACTCATAACTGCTATTGGGTAAAACACTACAGCTATCAGTTCTTCGACATGCAATACCTCAACAAATATCTTCTATTAGGTTGTTGGAAAAATCATGACTCATTTTTGCATAGAAAAACATAAAAAAAGTCATGACTTTTCTGATAACCCAACAGTTTCTTTACAGTTATAAAATGAATTCTACATTTCCAGTCCTACTTTATTTTAGAGAGTCCAGTACTACTCTAAAGTATTTATTCTTTTGAAGATCTTCAAATGTTTGAGTGCAAAAATCTAGATAATTTTTTCTCTAAATATATTCATAACTAGATCTAAAAATAACTTTAATATTTGCATCCTAATAAGCCTTCTTTCAATGTGTGTTGATACTTGAAGTGGGGGACCCAAAATTACATTGACAATTTGAATCACATAATATCAGAAATAGGAGTTGGCAAAACATGACACAGATTTGCTAAAATAAGCCAGCTACTTTGACTTGGGAATTACAAAGTTTAATCTGAAGATACTCCACTTCCACCAACATATTTATCTATTTCACTTTTTTTAAAAATACTCACTCTGTTTTTGGAACAGCTTTTCTTAGCCAGAAGAAATCAGACTGTGCTAAATACTTGCGGGTTTGCAGGACGTTGCCAAAGTAGTCAGATTCTGAAAATTTTATCTGAATAAAACAAACCACAACAACATTGTTCCACATGAAGAGATGACTCTAAAAAAAAGAGACTTCAGCACACAAATGAGCAACCAGTAGGCAAGCTCCAGCCTTCACAACATTTCTCAGCCATTACCAGTTAACCCAGGATTCACAAAGCCATGAAATCTAATTTCAGTGATTTTGTTTTAACATAAAAAGCTAAAGAATCAATATGGTCATTTCTGGATCACAGTTTAAAAAAAAAACAAGAGAAGCTTCAGTTATGTACAGTGCATTCCATTTTACTTTAAAATGGAAAAGTCTACTTTAACCTTTACAGAACATATTATCTTACATTTGAAATGTCTTGGCTCATGAGTCCTTGATTTTCTAAACTGTGCTTTATTTATTTGTCACATGAGATTCTTCTAATAACATTCAGTTTAGTCAGTGGAAACCTCATTTAGCTTATAGATGATGATTTAGTCAAATGTTAAAATCTAATGTACTGTAATCAGCATTTGTTCATAAAGAAAAAATCACAAGTGATTCAAAGACCTATTTTCTACCCTAAGCACAATAGAGTCACCAGAATAATTTAATTATTAACATAATTTAGATATTAACACTTAAATGGTCACTAAAATTAATACAATTACATAGGCAAATTATAACTTATAGTTTGCATAATACAGGCAGTTGCTAGATCACAACATTGTTGTCTATTGAGATAGGGAAACAGACTATTGATTATTGGGTTCTCTTTCTTATTTTTTAGAAGGAAAACGATAGAATTTCAGTTCTGTGGGAACTTCATCTATAAAACCAGCAATACTTAATCTAAATACTATAAATAATATCTGTGCAACAGTAAAAACAATAGTTTGTAACAATCTCTAATGCTTTGGTTTTAAAATATATTACTGTGCAGATAAGAAAAACACACATTTAGGACCAGTTAAATGGCACAGTAGTTAATGCAGTTGGATTCCACATGGCCAACTGTGCAGTTCAAGTCCAGGACCCAGAGGCTGGAAAAACACACAGGCATGTGTGCATACATGCCCAAAATCAAGAGAGAAGAATAGATTACAGCGTGGTCATCCCCCTGTGCTTTCTCATTTTGCCTTTCTTTCTCTCTTCTGTCTATCTCTCTCCTGTGAGCACATGTACCCTATATCAAATTTTAAAAAAGAAAAATACACATTTGAATAAGCAAATAAAGAGTAATCAAATTATTTTTTAAATGGTTCTCAATTTTATTCATTTGTTAAAAAGTTTATTTATGTCTTTCCATGAGAAAGAGAAAGAAAGACTGAGTCTTCAGGCTGCAATCCACTCCCAGTCTCATCTGGCCCAGATTGTGCTTGATTTGAATCCAAGACTTTTCTCACATGGTTCCAGTTGTATTAGCACTATACCACTGCCTAGCCCCTTGAATTCTTATTAGATGTAATTCTTTGGGGACTTTAAACCACAGTCTTTTTTTTTTTTCCTAGAGAGATTTTTACTATAGGGCGCGTGCGCTCGCCAGACAGACAGAGAGAGACATAGAGACAGAAAGCAAGAAATCACCCCCCAGGGGGGATGGTCACGCCACAATCCCTTTTCCTCCATTCTCCTCTCGGGATCTTGGGCATGCACGCACACGCGCCCAGTGTGAGTTTTGGTTTTTTTGTTTTGTTTTGTTTTGTTTTGTTTTGGTATTTTTTGGAGAGATTTTCACTGTAGGGCACATGCGCTCGCCAGACAGACAGAGAGAGACATAGAGACAGAAAGCGAGAAATCACCCCCCAGGGAGGATGGTCACGCCGCAATCCCTTCTCCTCCATTCTCCTCTCGGGATTTTGGGCACGCATGCACACGCGCCCAGCGTGAGTTTTAAGCCACCTAGACCGCGGTCGACTACGTGGGAGTCCAGCGACATAGCCATTATGCTAACTGCTGGTTCCCTTGTTTTGTTTTGTTTTAAAAGCCTTTATTCATTTTTGATCAGAGAAAAGGACAATTTCAATGTCAACTTGTCACCTAATTATAAATTTGAACTTAACAGCATTTACTACCCTAGACACCGCACCTACTGACTTCACAAAATAAAATGATCTCCCTTCCATTCTCCAAGGTTTGTATACTGGAAGAATAAACAATCCCTTGCAATAGCCAACACTGGTACTTGACCTAGGTGTACATCACATAGCAAAATAAGAGCCAAACAAGGCCAAGAGCATTGTTACTTGTTAGCTCAGCAAGTACAAATATCATTGGAACAGTTACAGGCACACACACACACACACACACAAAGAAAAAAAGAAAGAAAAAAGAAAAAAAACAAGCAGGTTCATTAGCATTAAACAATTTACAGCCTTAAAGCCTATGCCAATCCCAGCAGCTATCTAGGATCAACAGAAACCAACTTCCCTAAATCCAACTACACTTAATAAAAAACTCAAAGTTGGAGGAAGTCCTCTAAAATAGACATAAATTGACCTTTCAGTGCACCAGATGTGCTAAAATGACATGACTTAGTCACACTTAAATCAACATTTATACATGTAAGACTCAAGAATATCTTGTCCACTATTCCTTCCTATGTCTGAACAGGGAAATGCTTCACTACTCAGCTCATGCACTACCTGCATTAAAAATGAGATCAGCTGTGAATTTTTCTACTTCACACCACAAAACTCTTACAGCCTAATGTCCATATATAAAACACTTTGTGTTCAGTCTGATGGCTCTGACATTATCAAAAGAATGCAACTAAATTATTGTCACTAGCTTGTTTTAATCTAATACTTGTCTGCAAAAATCCTTGCAACTATTTTCCATGCTCTTAAACCATTAGCTCCTACCACACAGCTTACAGTACTCTTTTATCTGAAGATTCTTACCAAGACAATTAAATTCATGTTATCAGAGAAAGCTTTTTCTAGCAGACCAGACTTACTCTGAAAACAATGAGCAAATCATAAATGGCTTACCAGAAATAGTAAGAAAGCAAAATACACTACACCATGGTGGTGTTAAAAAAAACATTTTTCTTTAAAAAAAAAAAAAAGATTACAGAAGATTACATGGTCTACTAGAACGCTTCCACCAATTACAATATTATGATCTAGTCTCATGACAAAGCCTCCAGATATCCAGAAGGGAAAGAACATCAAAATGTGGTGGTAGCCTCAGTTAGCAGGGAGACAAGGCCTTAACACATAGAATACATCTACAAAAATGGGTAATACGGTAAACACCATGGCTGGCTATAAAGGAGTGCAGTTTCTCCCTGTGGACCAATACTCCCTACAAAATAAACTGTGCCTCAATTATTGCTTATTTAAGGTTACATTTTTTACAGAGCTATGTAGTACCTGACGCAGAAAAACAATCACATAAGGAAGCATTTATTTGAGGTTTAACATGAAATCATACAAATAAAATTTG